GCCTCACGTCGGGCGTGGCCGCGGCGGGGCGGGCTCGCGTGGTCGGAAGGGGCGTGGCCACCGCAGAGGCGGTGGGAGGCGTGGCCGAGGCGGGGAGGTGTGCTCGCGGCTGCCTCTGCGGTGGGAGGGAGCGATTCTGGGCCACGCCCGCCCCTCGGGTCTGCTTAGTGGTGTGGGTTTTTTTTCCTTTTTTCATTTGTCCAACGGCTATGCTGGGTCTGCTTAATTTAGCAGATATGACTCGGTTGTATACACTAGATTAGGTTTAGCTGCCTCTGTATTGGATAATATTTGCGGTAGAGTGAAGGATTGGTTGCAGTGGAAATAAATCATATTTTATAGACCGATGCCAGCTCAAAAGGAGCAAAGCCATTTTGGAAATCTAGTTCTTAGCCAATCTCTGCGTTTGGGCACGACAGGGCTGTTAGTTAAGTAGATACAAAATGTAGGGCGAGGAGACACATTTGCACACACTTGGCTTGGAAAATCTGAGTAGATATTATTTGGGCTGCACCTCGGTCTTCCTCTCCTTCCAATCTGAAAAGTCCTAGAATAAGAAAAAGATTACTAGAGATGTGGTCAGTTACACCCCATGTTTCTACCGTTTGAGGGCATAACAGGAACGTAAATGGAGAGAACATGGAAGTAAGGATACCAGAGGGCAACAAATATAAGGGAAAGGCCAGTAGAGAACACAAAGGGATATCAAGTGTGATTTTTCAAAAAATGTATGGCCTAAACTGTCAGTAAATAAAAATGTGTGGCACCGCACACGAGTTCCAAGGAGCCTTTGCTTGATTCATGGACATTCAATGTGGATTCATTTACGCTGCTTAACTACCATTGTCGGAAAAGGGAGAGCTTTTAACACATTTATGAGGTTGTTGAACTGTTTCTGTTTACTAAATAAAAGTGGTATAAAGGTTTAGGTTATTGCTTGCTTTTTATAAACTATTATTTTTCCTTAAGAGTTGTGAATGAAACCACTGAACTTGGCTAATTAAATTCAGAGAGAAAATTAATTCCTTTTCAGGGGGGAGGGTTTCACAAAGTTTTCTTTAATAATTCTTCGGGGGAAAGGGACACCACACTTCCACTCAATTAAGAGAAACATTTTTATCAACAGAGAAGTCTTTTTTATTTTTTTCCCACTTACGCCATGAATTCATAGGGAATGGGTTCCAGCAGCTCAGGCTCCTTTCCGTTGGTTCTCACAAAGTGTGCTTCTCTGGGTGGAGCAGGCTAAGGCTTCAGTTGAACCCATGTGCCTTTGTCTTTGGCTTCCTTCTTTTTCTGATCATTTTCCTTCACACGTTTCAGGAAGCTACTCGGCTCTTAGCTTAATATGCTCAATACGTACTTTCATTCTCTTGGCAAGAATCTTGCCCTTACCTTGCTCGTCCACAATAATGCCCACTGCATGCTGGGTGACACTGTAGACTCTTCCAATGTTGCCATGGTAACATTTGTGGGCATTCCTTTTTGAACAGTGCCCATTCCCTTGCTGTCCACAGTATCACCTTTCTTGTAGATTCGCATGTATGTGGCCAAAGGAACAACTCCGTGTTTTCTAAAAGGGCTAGAGAACATATAGTGGGTGCCTCTCCTCTTTCCCTTTGTGTTAGTCATTTTGGCGAATTACTGGAAGATGGCGGTTCCGGCCGAAAGCGAAAAAATTAATTCTTAAGTATCATCTATGCTGGAATAATTTTCTCTTAGTATAGTGCCCAGAATTTTGAGTTGTCATTCTTTGGGCATTGTTCATACTTACGTAGGTTGCTTTTGATGAAACTTTTTCATCTGATGGTCTTTTTTAAATGTTTTTAATGATTTCAGAGAGGAAAGAAGAGGGAGAGAGAGAAACATCAGTGATGAGAGAATCATCGATTGGCTGCCTCATGCAGCCCCCTCTCCCCGCACTGCCCCCCCCCCACCCCCAACTGGGGATTGAGCCTACAACCTGGGGCCTGACGGTCTTTTGAAAGTTATATTGGACAGCTAATACCAGGACTTCCCACATTTAGGAAAACTACTTAGAGTGGGGGGTCCCATTTTATTGTCAATGGATTAAATAATCAAATAGGACCTACCAAAGAAATGGTTTTCTCAAGCCCAGTTGTTTGTGTGCATTAAGTATGAGTCATACTGTGGTGATATGGTATGTATGTATAGATAACATTTTGATCCTCAAAACATCCTGGAATGGTAGGAGGGGAGGGTGTTATCATCCCCACATAACAAAGGAGGACAGTGGTGCTCAGAAACCTGTTCCTTTAATTGCTGACCGAGTGCTTCTCTACTTTTTGTTCACTGTGTCAGATAATACTTAAAGTGGACTTTATGTGTAGAAAAAGCAATTGATATCATTTCCTGGAAGAAATGATATCAATTTCCACCGACTGGCAGAAATGATATCAGTTTCCACAGGCTGGCAGACCCTGTAGTAATGACTTGATTAAAGAACTCTTGAGGAACAAAGCTCCATGAATGAAGTTGGCCCAGGTATATACTGGGAGTGAGAGGAGGCCCAAGCCAAGGCAAAGCTGTGGGAATCTCCCCATGAGGCACTGCGGATGATAAGCCTCCTATTGCAGAAGGGATGAGGGGGGGTGGGGGGGGGGTGGGAAGGGAGAGAGGGTGGAATGAATCCTGGAATGCATCCTCATACTTTATGGTTTCCATATTTATTACATAAAGTGTGTCCTCCTCCCCCATTTTTTGCTCCCCCTCTTTAATAACAGTTTCACTGTTTTGTGTTGATCACTACCCACCATTAGGTTACAATTTTGTTGAAGATATAAGCTGTGTCTGAGCCCTTATCCATAGCTGGACTATACTGTTCAACACCCTTTGGATATCTATCAATGAGATTATTGTTCTTTCTGAAGCACCATAATTATGTTTGCTGTTGACAATTTGTTGATGTTAATATCTTTCTGACCAGAGAATATTAATGGAAATGCTTAGTAATTATTTTCTGTTTCATGTATCTAGTTTTTTACCCTGTGTTCTTAGTCCTCTTATATGAAGCTCCTTCTAAACTTGTTTTCCTCCTGACCTCACTCTCCACTTATAATACATCTTCTCATGTTTTACATTCCATTCTTTTCTCTCTAACCGTCTACCTCTCCCATTCATCAGATAACCAGGAGAAATGTGGTCATAAGTAGAGAGAGGATTCAAATCTTTAAAACAGCTCTTGGCTAGACTACTGCTTGCACAAAGCCACTGCTAAACACAGCAGCTTTTTTAGTTGGTTACTATAGAGACAAATGGCATTAAATGGAGATATGCTTGACAGAAGTTAGGCAAGTAAGCTTTGTGAGATTGGATGCCTTATATGCAGGATTGTCTAAAAAAGGTCAAAACCAGAAAAGATAGGAAGGAGAAAGGTTTCACAAATGAGCTGATAGGTAATTAATTGGTGGATTTAGGTTGGTAGTTTTGTGCCTGCTAAAGTCTTGAATCCAGCATAAAGAATCTACCTCCAAGTACCTCTATTATGACTACATAGTGACTTTTTTTTTTAATAACAGCTATGCTACCATGAATTTTTGTGTTCAGATCTCTGTTGGAGGTGCATATGTTTTCATTTTTCTGGGTCTTGAGAGTGGAATTGCTGGATCCATATGGTAACTCCTTATGAGGAACTACCAGGCTGTTTTCCAAAGTGGCTGCACTTATATTCCCACCAGCAATGTATGAGCATTCCAATATCTTCACCTCCCTCCCAACCCTTACTAGTTTTTTTGATTATAGACTTTGGTGATGTGTGAAGTAGTGTCTCATTGTGGTTTTGATTTACATTTCCCTGAGGGCTAAAAATGTTTGACTGTTTTTCATTTGCTTATTGACCATTTGTATATCTTCTGTGGAGAAATGTCTATTTGGATCCTTGCCTTTTAAAAAATTGGGTAATTTTTTTTTATTATTATTGAGCTGTAAGAGTTCTTGATTCTAAATACAAGTCTTTCATCAGAGACATATTGATCAGGTTTGGGAAAATTTTCTCCCCTTCTGTGGATTATCTTTTCATTTTCTTGGGGGGTGTCCTTTGCAGCTCATAGCTTTTAATTTGATGAAGTCCAATTTATTTTGTCTTTTTTTGCTTGTGCTTTTGGTGTCATTTCTCAAAAACATTGCCTAATCAAGTGCCATGAAGATTTATATTTGTGTTTTCTTCTAACCATTTTATACCTTTAGCACCTTACATTTAAGTTTGATCTACTTTGAATTATTTTTTGTATATGGTATCAAGTAGGGGTCCAAATTCCTATTTTTATATGTGGATGTTCAATTTCCCAGCAGCATCTTAAAAAATTATTCTTTCCTCAATGAATTGGCTTGGAACCCTTATCAAACATGAGTTAACCATAAATGTGTGGGTTCATTTCTGCAAAATTAATTTTTTTTGTTGATCTATATCTTATGTCATTACTACACTGTATTGATTATTGTCACTCTGTAGTCAGGAAATTTGAGACCTCCAAACCCCTTGCCCCCCCCCCCCCAATATTATATCTATTTGGGATTCCTTGAATTTCCGTATAAATTTTATGATCACTTTGTCAATGTCTGCAAAGAAGCCAACTGAGATCTACATTGAATCTGTAGATCCCTTTGGGGAATATTGCCATTTTAACAATGTTAAAATTCCTGTCAGTGAACATGGGATGTGTTTTCATTTATTGTAGTAATCTTTCATTTCTTTCAACAATGTTTTGTAGTTTCAGGGTATAAGTAAGATTTTGTACGTC